TTAGTACCACGCGAAATTATTACATAAGTGCCTGAAACAATTGTACGTGACACTACGGGACATATACAACTAACCAGCTAACTACATACCTGACATTCCAGTAACCACCATGATATTCGATTTAGAAAGCTCCGGGCAAACTGTTTCACTGATTCCTATGAACTTATACGATGCGGCTATGTTTTAGTTGTGCAACTAAACGGTTGTTTTGAAACAATCGACAATCGTACAACAATTGCGTTTATTTAAAGACTTCGCTCGCGACTCCGCGCGGAATTAAAACAAATGCAAGTAGCCTATGTGCTCTTCCAGACTATCCTCTACATCTATGCCAGATTTCATCAAAATCCGTTCGACCGTTTAGGCTACAAACTCTAAAAATCATCCATCCATCTGTAATATTAGTATGATGTGCGTATTCTCTAAGCTGGCAAACCTAACATGTTAGATGTCAATCCCGGCATGTTTTTGAATTTTTATTAATAAAGAGCGATTTCCACACTGTTTTCTATGTTTTGATATTGTCGATTTATCTATCGATAATCGAAATACTTGTCTTTGATATATCCTTGATAGTTAACGAAATATGGATAAGACTATCCCGCTAAAGAAAACAACGGAAGTCTGTTTTGTGGTTAATTATCTATTAAGCATTTTTGTTGCTTGGATTCCAAAATATTGTTCCAAATAATCATCGTGACGAACGTTATCATTTGTCACGATGTTTTTGAAATCTTAATATTTATTTTAATCATACCTGTTATACCAAAAATAACAGTAAATTGGACTCTGGTATTTTAGCCATCTGAGTCATAGTCCAGTCCTACCCTACCATATACTGAATCCACTCCCATAAAATCCCATAATCCATACTTTCTTCGGTCTTTTCTAGTAGACATAATTCAATCTTAACACTTTCTGGTTTATGTCATCCTCTCGTCGCATAATACGCTAACCTTTTACTTCTCAATTTCTCAAACACTAAAATATCCAAGAGCAGCACTATTATAATCCAGTAAAAATATTAAGTTGAAAAAAAAAGATTAACTTGATAAGAAAAATTGTAACGTTTTATTTTGACATGTGGCAAAGAGTATGTTTAGTATAACTGGCCGGTTACAAACTTTAGTCGCCCTCTTCGCTAGACGGCGCTGCTTTCCATACTAATATTCATTTCAGTCACCCTCAAGACGCCATTCCTTTTATTAAGTTCCTTGAACTCGTTAATTATCGAGATTTTTATCTCTTTATCGATTTAAAATTATATTTCCCATTCAACTAACGCATCGATTTCGCGAATCGATGTTTTCAATATCACCATGACGTGACAAAAATTATGTAAATATATAGTTGTATGAATTGCCTATAATATGCTGTTTAGAATGACTGGGTGTTTTTATATCATATGTTATGTTATATTACGTTAACGTTTTATCAATACAGATAGCTTATTGGTGAATATTTTACAAAATGTATCTAAATCCATTTCCTTTACTAAGAAATTCCGCGTTTCGTCTGATGTGGTGGAGACCCTTTTTTATGCCCGAGGGGAATACTTTACGTTTACTTTACGTTCCACTGGGCGCGGAGTATGCGCCCAGTGGAACGTGATAGTTATGTGGGATTCTCCCCATAATGTTGCATGCCTACTAAACCCCTTAGTTCCTCCAACGCATTAGGCTGGGGCCAGAAGCACGCTATCGCTTACGTCCGCGACCAGTGCTGTAGACCCAACTTGAGGTCCTTTTCCTTAAGAAAATTATGTGTGGGTTTGATCCAGGAGACATAAGAGTTATGTCCTCTTTATGTGCGTATTCTCCTCCGTCGATTAAGGGTAGGAGACGTAATCGCTATTGCGGAATGTCTATGGGCAGTCGCTAAGCCAGTTAGCGGATTTATATGGCCCGCTTGCTCGTTTGCCATCTTAAGATGTAAAAAAACTTAGGCTGGTAAATAGATAACGTTCTTTGGACCCTATGATGCGCACAAACTCGATTTTTAGGTGGGTAACTAAACAATTGAAGAGCAAAACAATCGACAATCGCAGAGTAGTGCGGTTTAGTCAAAGCGTGCACGTTCTTAACCGTTAGTTGTAAAAAAATGACTTGAAATCTTACTATCTTACTAATATTATAAATGCGAAAGTTTAGATGGATGTATGGATGGATGGATGGATGTTTGTTAGAGTCTGTAGCCTAAACTGCAAAACGGGTTTTGATGAAATTTCGTACAGATGTAGAGGATAGTCTGGAAGAACACATAGGCTACTTTTTATCCCGGGAATAGTTACGGTTCCCGTGGGATTCATTAATTTAGTTTTTCATGTTCATTCGATCATTCTGCAACGGTTCAACATATCTTATTGAAATTTGGCACAGATATAAAACAAAGTTTAGAGTACACATGAGATAAGCTTCATCCCAGAGAAATGTCCGGTTCCCGGGAGACGTAGCTTTTTGTAATTTATATAATTCGTATGTTTTCTAATACCACGCGGACGAAGTCGCGGGCAACAGCTCGTTATTAATAAATGATTGTTTTATCGGGTATATTTTTGTAAAAATATTCCAATTATAGTATATACTGATAACTCTATTTATCTTGATCAAGTTTAAATTGGTTTTATATTGTAACTAGCTGTTCCCGTGCTTGTTAACATGACATGGCAAACTTTGGCAATCTTGGCAAATGGTATGGTCGCTTTCCATTTCGGTGGATTCAGGCTTGCTCGTTTGCCACTTTATATCATACCAAGACGTGTTCATGTCCAAATTTCATTATCGAATTAATTGTAACGGTCGAGGTTCGAAGTCCAAAATCCATTTTTATCGCATTCTATTATGTTCTAGATATTGTATTAAAACGTAAAAACCAAACCTTTATCTACAGATACATTGGAACTGTAATAATATCTGATAAAAAAATATTTGTCATAGTCAAAATTTTTTTTAAGAAAGACTTTAGGATTACAAATGTCATCTATTATAATAAAGCGTAAACACACACTTCTTTGTTGCCTAAGATGTCAGCAAATACAGCATATTTATGAATAATTTTCTTTTTAATGAAAAGCCCTACACTTACGTCACGCTTTAGGCTATATATTTTCACGCCATTAAACTTAGTGCGTAAATATTTTGGATATAAACCCTAATGTGGGAAAGAGACCATAAGTTGCTGCCAACATCAAGGAAGCAAGGTTGTCATCAAGTCATATCATTTTGACGTTTGCAATTGATAATTTGACATATGCGAATAATATATGAAAAGCCCTACACTTACACTTTAGGCTATATATTTTAACGCCATTAAACTTCGGGGGTAAATATTTTGGATATAAACCGTAATGTGGGAAAGAGACCATAAGTTGCTGCCAACATCAAGAAAGATTGCCAAGGTTTGTCATGTCATGTCATTTTGACATTTGCTATTGATAATTTGACACATGTAAACAATAAAATAAAATCTTAATAATTTCATGCGGATGAAGCCGCACAAGAACATTAAGTACTAATATAATGCGAAAGTTTAGATGAATATTTGTTAGAGTTTGTAGCCTAAACTGCAAAACGAATTTTGATGAAATTTCGTATAAATGCAGAGGATAGTCTGGAAGAACACATAGGCTACTTGGTTGTGTTTTTTAATACCACGCGGCATAGCTGTTCCAGTGCGACATCAGCATGAAATTATGAAAATTTTATTTTATTGTTTACATGTGTCAAATGATCAATAGCAAATGTCTAAATGACATGACATTCAAACCATGGTAACTTTGCTTCCTTGATGGCAGCAACTTATGGTCTCTTTCCCACAAGTTTTGTTTCAATTTATTTACTCCATAAGTTTAATAGCGTGAAAATAAATAGCGTAAAGCGTATCGTAAGTGTAGGGCTTTTTATTAAGGAAAGAATTATTCAAAAATATGCTGTAATTGCTGACATCTGAGGCAACAAAGAAGTGTGTGTTTACGCTTTATTATAATAGTATAGATAATAGATTAAAGATGTCCTTAAAAAAAATAAAAATCATCACAAACTATTCTATTTAATTCAATGATAAGTTATCAAGGATAAGTTGAAGAACGGGGTGACATTTTTGTTTGTCATAATGATACAAATTAGGTAACATTTGTTTTCATGTCATTATCTATATATATACTATCTATACTATTATAATAAAGCGTGAACACACACTTCTTTGTTGCCTCAGATGTCAGCAATTATAGTATATTTTTGAATAATTCTTTTTTTAATAAAAATCCCTACACTTACATCACGCTTTAGGCTATATATTTTAACGCCATTAAACTTAGGGGTTTTGGATAAAATCCTAATGTGGGAAAGAGACCATAAGTTGCTGCCAACATCAAGGAAGCAAGATTGAAAGGGTTTATCATGTCATGTCATTTTGACATTAGTAATTGATAATTTGACAAATGTAAACAAGAAAAAGAATGAAAAATTCCAGATTTCGGTCAAATATTTGCGTTGCTGATTACGAAAATCACAGTTAAAAATTGTCTGTCTGTCTGTCCGCAATCCGCGTTTGTTCCGTGTATTCTTGGAAATCGAGAATATACGAAATACAAATCTTCTTTATAATATAGTAGTAGTTTCTAAATATAACCTATGTTACATACAGATTTTAATTCTAACGGGAATAAAATTAAAATCGTCCAAGTAGTTTTTGTTTTATTCCAATACATACAAAAATACAAATATTTCCTATATAATATTACTTCTTACTAATATTATAAATGCGAAAGTTTAGATGGATGTTTGTTAGTTTGTAGCCTAAACTGCTGAACGGATCTCCATGAAATTTGGTATAGATGTAGAGGATAGTCTAGAAGAACACATAGGCTACTCACTTTTATTTTTTTCCACGCGAACGGAGTCGCGGGCAAAAGCTAGCATTGGTATAAACGAACGACGTAAAATGATGAATTTCAATTTTAGTATTTACTTCTTTGTATTAAAGTTTCTTTTCCTTTCCAGGGATGTATACGATGCGTATGCTGGATGGAGCCCCCCATATTCCTCCACACAACCATTCCCATATGACTGTGGCTACCGGTAAGTATCTACATTACTATACTTCCCACTAGGGTTTCCTGCCTACCCTAGTACCCTGAACGTAGTCATCTTCACATATATCTTTGAATTTCTTCACCTATGTGCATCACGATGTATCCTTCACAGTACCGTCGGGTAAATTATGTACATACTACCTTTCGCCCGCGACTCTATCTGCGTGGAATTTAAAATGACAAAATTGAGTAGTCTATGTGTTCTTCCAGAATATCCTCTACATCTATGCCAAATTACATCGAGATACGTTCAGCAGTTTAGGCTACAAACTAACAAACATCCATCTAAACTTTCGCATTTATAATATAAGTAAGATGTAATTTGAAAATCAGATACAGCGGGATTCGAACCTAGCACCTGTAGCTTACAAGTCGTTAAACCACTGAGCCATCTACGCTCTTCTTTTTGCTAATACTAGTATTATAAATGCGAAAATTTAAATGGATGTTTGTTAGTTTGTAACTTAAACTGCAGAACTGATCTGGATGTAATTTGTCTGTACACATAGACTGTTTTTTGTACCACGCGGACGGTGTCAGGCGAAAGCTTGTATAGCTGTAAAAATGGTCCTTCGAGTCTAGATTTTTTTATTTACAGAACGTGATTCGGCTTCCGATAGTGCTGTCTCGTCGATGGGTTCAGAGAGAGTCCCTTCATTATCTGACGGTGAATGGTGCGACGGGAATGATTCCGCTCAGGAGTTCCATAGGTTTGTGTTTATTTCATTTTACATTTATAAATTGACATTTATAGTTTAATTTACATTATAGTGTGTCTAAATAATTTAGATTAGTTTGACAATTCACTTCAAATTTGGTAGGGATGGGTTGTGTAGAATCAGTCATGAATCTTATCGATTTTCGATTTTTATTCTTATAGAAGTTGGAATCGATAAATTCGTAGTTATAATTTGTGAATGAAAGAACAAACACTGTTATTTCAAATTAATAATGACCATAACAAATAGTGGGAGTAAATAAATGTTTATTACTACTACAGCCGTATGTAATCGAATTGGATTTCGCTATTATTTCTGTCATCGCTAAATTCTCTACACTATAATCAATACTAGAATTGTCCTATAAATTAGTTAATAAGAAAATGATAATTTTAGTTGAGTTGGATAATTATTTAAACCGAATATCGATAGTTCATAATTGTTGGCTGCGTGTTTGTTTCGTCACTACGATACCTGTCTATTAAGTATGACATTTGCCTTCATACAAATTTATTGTTAAAATTCACTCTATACTTTTGTTTTTATACTATTTTATTTATTTTTACTTTCCAGTTCTAAATTCCGGCCCTACGATGCCGCGTACTCCAGAGAGAGATCTCATCCTCCACAGAAGAAGCACCATATGTTCGGAAAAAGATGTTTCCAGGTATTATTATACATAAAAATTTCATAATTGTTACTAAAAAAAACTATAGAAAATCCCGTAACAAACTTTGCGCTTTTACGACAGCTATTGAGGTCGTCTACAACACTAAAACCGTAGAACAGAGTTAACAGTGGTAGAGCCCGCTTTAACATCTTCGCACTGTAGGGCTTTCAGCAATATCCACACAGACAGGCGGGAAGTGGAAGCAATTCCGCGTACTGATGAGTGTGGTGCTGAAGACCTAATTTTAGTCCCTTTCCACACTTTTCTTAAAAGGAAAGGATAGGAAGGAAAAGTGGATTTGACGGTGGAGACGCATAGGAAGGGGAAATGTCCTCTTTATGTGCGTCTCCGTTGAAGGGTAGGCAGCGCTGCAATTGCGGATGTTTATGCAGCGGTCACTCCATTTCGGTGGATTCAGGCCGCTTGTTCGTTTACCATCTTATATTATAAAAAAAATTACTTTAAGAGCAACCCTTATATTTCAGGAGCAACCCCAAACAAACTTGGAGCCTCTAACTCGCACCCCAAGCGTCGTCAAATATGAGTGCCCCGAACAGACTTATCACCACGACCTACAAATGCACAATGGTAAGTAGAACGTATAAAACGGTAAATAAACCTGAATTATTTCTCCTAGCGCTTCAGTGGCTTGCGTACATATTGTTTCAGCTTAATGTTTTTCGTATTCACAAGCTTTCGCCCGCGACTCCGTCTGCGTGGATTAAAAAAAAAGTGAAGCTTGTGTGTTCTTCCGGACTATTTACATCTATACCAAGTTAGGCTACAAACAAACATCCATCTAAACTTTCGCATTTATAATATTAGTATGATGTAGAGAATAACCAGGAAGAACGCATAGGCTATTTTAGTTATTTTAAAACCACGCGGACAGAGTCGAATACTAAAGCTAGTTTATATCAGTAAAGTAATCAATACACCTAGAAATTGAATATCTGATAGTTATTTTCTATCAGAAAGCAATACTTTTAATAAATGTAATGTTTAAATTATTGTACAGTGGACTACAGTCGTCAGGTGGTACCGCACGCGCCAGCGCTGCAGCCAGCACTGGACTTGAATGCGGCTCATTCCAGTCACGCGCTGCTACAGGTGAGCTATTTTTAATAACTATTGAATACGTGATAAATATGGAATATACTTATAAAAGGTGTGAAAGAGACAGATTTGAACTGTACTATCCTCAGAAGGTGTGAAAGAGATAGCTTGATGTTGTAATTTGCTACTAAAACTCCTATAAATCGATTCTTCGCGGATGTAAATTATAAGTGTGAAAGAAACAGATAGAAAGTCTAATTTACCATCAACAGTCCAATAAATCGATCCCTGGTCATTATTATGAAAGAAAAAGACACACTATAACATGTTACAAGTGTGAAAGAGACACATAGATAGTGTTAACTATCAATCAAAATAAATTTATTTATAAAATTTGTTATAACAAAATAGTGGTCGTTGGAATAATTATGCAAGACAAGGATACACTATACACACTCTAAGTGTGAAAGAGATATATATATAAATTAATCAACCTAGCCCTGGTCGTAGTTATAAATATGAGAAACAAGGACACAGTTTTATATCCTGGTTATCGAAAAACAACTATAATCTTACTAATTTTATAAATGCGAAAGTTTAGATGGATGTTTGTTTGTAGCCTAAACGGCTGAACGGATCTCCATGAAATTTGGCACAGGTTTAGAGCATCGTCTGGAAGAACACATAGGCTACTTTTTATCCCGGGAATAGTTAGTTCCCGTGGGATTCATTAATTTAGTTTTTTAATGTTCACTCGATCATGCAACGGTTCAACATATCTTATTGAAATTTGGCACAGATATAAAACAAAGTGTGGAGTACAAATGGGATAAGCTTCATCCCCGAGAAATGTCCGGTTCCCGGGATACGTAGCTTTTTGTTATTTATAGTTCGTATGTTTTCTAATACCACGCGGACGAAGTCGCGGGCAATAGCTCGTATAGTATAAGTGTGAAAGAGACAGCTAAATACTGTACCTAATTACTAAACAGTCCAATCAACCTAACCCAATCGTGGTTATAAATATTAGAGACAAGGACACACGATAACATCCTATAAGTGTGAAAGAGACAGCTACTGTTTTAATTTACCAACAGTCTATATCACCGAGCCCTGGTCGAGAGACAGAGATGAACTGTTTTATCAACAGTCCAATAAATCGATCCTGGTCGTTATTATGAAAGACAAGGACACACGATAACATCCTATAAGTGTGAAAGAAACAGTTAGATAAAGTAATTTACTCCCAACATACCAATAAATCAAGGCCAAGTCGTTGTCAATATGAAAGAAAAGGATACACTATACTAACATCCTATAAGTGTGAAAAAGACAGCTAAATACTGTACTTCATTACTATCAACAGTCCAACACATCGAGCCTTGGTCGTTATTATGAAAGACAAGGACACACTATAACATCATATAAGTGTGAAAGAGACAGCTAAATACTGTACTTAACAATCCAATCAAACTAGCCTTGGTCGTAGTTATAAATATGAGAGACAAGGACACACTATAACATCCTATAAGTGTGAAAGAGTCAGCTAGATGTTTGTTTATCCGCAGCCTAACGTGAGCCCAGGCCGCTACGGCGTGAGCGGCGAGCGCGTGCGTCACAACCACACGTACAGCGCGCTCGAGCCGCCCGCAGACAGACATCTCGTCAGAGATAAACGAGGTTAATATAACTATATATATACTGTGTCATCATCATCATCATCATCTTCCTCTTTATCCTACTCCTGTAACGCTCAACAGGTTTTTGTCCTCCAAACTCTATCATCTCAGTCATCACTCCCTTTTTGATATGTCATCTACGAAATTCGATACCAAAGTATATCAAACCTATTCATTACCGCCCCTTTAAAAATGATTTCTCACCTTCCCCTATTTTTAAACAATTTCAGTGAAGTTTAAAATAAATGAAATTACAAATTATACATCACCCCTAACCCACAACTACCCCTATTTTTATGTGACCCTATAACGCCCTCTTTACATTTAAAACGCCCTCAAGGGGGTGTTATCGCCCATTTTGAGAAACAGTGAACTATACTAATATAATAAAGCGTAAACACACTATTTTAATTAAAATCGAGATTTTCGAAACTCCTTAGGCTATGTTTTAACGCTAGGGGGTAAATAAATTAGGTAAAAACCATGTGGGGAAGGGACCATGAACTACAAAGTGCAAAAATCAGGGAAGACTAGCCATGCTTGTCATTTGTATATTCGAAATTGAGAATTTTACATATGTGAAAAATAAAAAAGCTTTTATAATTTCATGCGGATGAAGCCGCACAGGAACAACTAGTTCATTTATAAATGTAAATTGAGATCTCGCAAAATACCCTTAATAAATGTAAACATCTTCTAATTTACATTTATAAATGTAAACTTTACGTTTCGTATACATTTATAAATGTAAACTTTACGTTTCGTATCCATTTATAAATGTAAAATTTACACCTCGTTTCCATTTATAAATGTAAAATTTACACCTCGTTTCCATTTATAAATGTAAACTTTACATCTCGTTTCCATTTATAAATGTAAACTTTACGTTTCGTATCCATTTATAAATGTAAATATTACATAAGGTAACAAAGTATGTTTACAGTTCGAAGGTTGACGGACGGTAGTACGTCGGACGGCGGGTCCGCGAGCTCGCAGCATCTGTCGCGAGATGAGAAACGCGCTAAGGCACTTGGTGAGTGTCTCATACATCCATACATCCATACATCCATACATATATACAATTTTATTATACGTATAGATAAGTTTAACTCAATTATAATAGCTCACTAGAGTTCTTTAATGTCAAAGTCAAGTTCCTTGTGCTTCAGTATTTTTGTTTGAGATCTGTAGGTTTAATATGTAAAATTAACTAAAGCTATGGGTTTTATGGGTTTTTTATGTAAATTATTATATAAGTAAAAGGTCCAAATAAACTTTTAGTAGAACTAAAATGTTAACAATTCTGTTGCCTTTAGAAGTTTTTGATTATTGGAAGTAAATCTATATTATGAAGAGGAAAGATTTGTATTTTTGTATGTATTGAAATAACTCAACTATTGGGTTGATTTTAAAAATTCTTTCACCGTTTGATAGGTAATTTATCTGTGAGTAACATAGGCTAGTTATTTATAATATGAATAATTTATAAATAACTAGAATATGGCTTTTTATAATATGACTAATATTAATTTGAAATAAATTGGTTATAAAAAAAATAATAAGTTAGGATTTAATACAAGATTGGATATTACAAAAAAAATCTAGTTACAAAATAAAACTAGTCCAATAGACCTTCTAACTTCGATCATACTTTAACCTTTTGTTATGTCAAATCTTACTAATATTATAAACTAGCTTTCCCCCGACTCCGTCTGCGTAGAATTAAAAAAATGTGGGTAGCCTATATGTTCTTCCAGACTATCTTCTACGTCTATGCCAAATTTTATCAAGATCCGTTTAGTAGTTTAGGCTACAAACTAACAAACATCCATCTAAACTTTCGCATTTATAATTATTAAGATAATATTAGATGGATGTTTGTTAGTTTGTAGCCTAAACTACTGAACGGATCTTGATAAAATTTGGCATAGATGTAAAAGTTAGTCTGGAAGAACATATAGGCTACCCACATTCTTTTTTATTCTACGCAGACGGAGTCGCGGTCGAAAGCTAGTATATAATATTGATATTTATTTTCAGGTATACCGTTGGAAGTTCATGATATAATAAATCTTCCGATGGACGAGTTTAACGAACGCTTGTCAAAACACGACTTAAGCGAGGCTCAGCTGTCTCTTATAAGGGACATACGTCGTCGAGGCAAGAATAAGGTATTTATTATCTTTTTTTTTAGTTTTTTTATATCATAAGGTGGTAAACGAGCGATTACCTGAATCCGCCAAAATGGCGAAGCGATGCTGCCCATAGACATTCGCAATAAAGAGGATATTTCCCCTTCCTTTGCTTCTCCATAATCAAATCCACTGACCTTTCTCAACTGTTTCTTATAAGAAAAAGGTTGGGAAGGAAAAAGGACTAATGTTAAGGAAAAGGGATAAAGTACCGCACTCATCAGACTACGCGGAATTGCTTTCACTTCACTCCTGTCTTGTGAGGTCGTGGTATTGTTAAGAGCCCTATAGTTAACTATTTTACGCGAACGTAGTTGCGAACAGTTAATAAATAAACTACCAAGTTAAGGCTTCAAATAAGGAAATTCGCGTAGATACAGATAGTTATATATTAGCTTTCGCCCGCGACTCTATACACGTGGAATTAAAAAAAACAAAATAGCCTATGTGTTCTTCCAGACTATCTATTACTACCAAATTTCATCGAAATCTGTTCAATCGTTCAGGCTACAAACCAAGAAACATCCATCCATCTAAGCTTTCGCATTTATAATATTAGTGCGACTAGTTTACGCACGCGACTCCGTCCGCTTGAAATTAAAAAAAAAATGAGTAGTCTGTGTGTTTTCCCTGACTATTCTCTCTTTATATACCAAATATCATCGAAATCCGTCCAATCGTTTAGGCTACAAACTATTATTATTTTTTTTTATTTTTATTGAAAATATTACATGACACAAATTAAACAATATGCACATGGTTTGTCCGCGGGTGCGCTGGTTTTTTTTTTGTGTAGAATTACATAAAATACATATAATAAATACAAATAATACTAACAAACATCCATCTAAACTTTCGCATTTATAATATAAGTATGATTACTTTAGGTGGCGGCTCAGAATTGCCGTAAACGTAAACTAGATCAAATAACGTCGTTGGCTGACGAAGTGCGCACAGTCCGCGACCGCAAGGTGCGCACGCAGCGCGACCACTCCGCGCTGCAAGCGGAGCGACAGCGCGTTAAGGAGAGATTCGCTGCACTCTATAGACATGTATTCCAAGTAAGTTTCTTTTATAACATAACGAGCTGTTGCCCGCGATTTCGTCCGCGTGGTATTAGAAAACATACAAAAAGTTACGTATCCCGGGAACCGGACATTTCTCGGGGATGAAGCTTTATGTGTACTCCACACTTTGTTTTATATCTGTGACAAATTTCAATAAGATATGTTGAACCGTTGCATGATCGAGTAAACATTAAAAAACTAAATTAATGAATCCCACGTGAACTAACTATTCCAGGGTTAAAAAGTAGCCTATGTGTTCTTCCAGACTATGCTCTATATCTGTGCCAAATTTCATAGAGATCCGTTCAGCCGTTTAGGCTACAAACTCCATCCATCCATCTAAACTTTCGCATTTATATTAGTATGATATATACATCAAACACACATACTTTTTTTACACAGAATTTATAAATAGTTCCATCGGGTTAGGATGTCAAAAATTGTCTGGACAGAATAGACGGCAAACGCAAATATACATGTAAAATTGGAGTATCTGTCTATCTTTCCCGACGGAGTCAAGGGCGCTAGCTAGTATATGAAATTATAGTGTCTGTGATATCGAAAGAAAAAATCCATTCAACATCCATCCATCCAAATAGTATTTTCAAATAAAACAATTAAACGAAGTATACAATTCTTCCAGAACCTTCGCGACCCTGATGGTAGACCGTTATCCTCGAACCAGTATTCCCTGCAGCAAGCTGCTGATGGCAACGTGGTGCTGGTCCCCAAGATGCACCACGAGCCTATGAACAGAACTGATGATGACATCGACAGAAAGACGAAACATTACGAATGAATGTAGACATTTAAGAAATATAGAAGAGGCATTTTCCACTCGTAACTTCTTTGAAAGGTACTTTGTTAAATTTACTGCCGTCTCTTATGACATTTTACTAAATTATATGACCTTTTGTTAGGAAATAAACTAAAAAGTCTTACAAAATAAACCCATTGGTAATCCATTTGAAGAAATATTTATGCCTCTTCTAGATATTTCTTGAATCTTTGCTTATAAATGGATTTTACAAATTTGTTTACGATACGGATTGAGTTTTACATTTATAAATCGGGTTGTTTAAACAAATTGTGTAAAAATTGAGAGTTTTCATTGGTAGAATCAAAATTACGATAAATAAATGAGTAATAGTTTTTTCATAAAACACCTTTTTGATACATTTATAAATGTTTTATACATATTAGAGTCACAAATACTAGGAAATAAAACAATAAGGGTCCGTTCAGATAGACGGAGAGATGGGCAGATTTTTATCGCAAATAAAATTGATTTTTTTTTCTTATTATAAGGTTTAATTTAAATTTACATGTCTTTTCTTATTCAAAAGTAAAAAAGACGTGTTAAATAAAATAAGCGTATTTTATTTGCGATAAAAATTTTGTTCTGTCGCTCCGTCTGTATGAGCCCTTAACAGTGTCTTGTCTAGCTGGCTGGACAATATGTTTATTAAGATCACCAATATAAATAGAACTTACATTTAAAAAGAATTATATTACCTTGTACCAGTGTGTCACGTTAAAAATAACGCGATTTTAAAATAGATTATTATCCGTCAGTTTACAAAAATCCAGTAATAGGCAAATATATTAAGGGCTTGTCCCAATAAATTGTAAATTGTCTGATAATCCAATGTGTAAAATATGATGGAAATCGGATTTTGTTATCTGACTGACGTTTTTAAGATATCTGAGCCTCTATCAGCCAGTTTTGGGACTTGCTTTGAAATATTAGATTTTTTGAACCAGTGCTTAAGTTTAATTTCTTGTATACGATTTTAGACCTTAATGCGTCACGATAGAGTTGAAAATCGTATGATTTGAACGAAATCGATTTTTTTTTCGATAATGTGATAAAACGACAAAATTCCATTTTTATTTAGAGTGTGATTAGTGGTTTTTTTTTAATATAAAATAGAATTTTCTAGAATCAATACGAACGAGAAACGATTATTGTAAGATAACCTAATGACGTCATTTCTTACTAACGGAGATCTGAGGACCTAGCACGAAAATTTTAATGGAAAGTGTTAATAATAAAATTTTTGCCTTTTCTGTCACAAATCTATAGTAAAATAATTGGAGTATCTGTATGTAATATTAGTAAAACATATCAGGAACAGTAGCTGATATGTGCGCGATTTTTATTATTTCATAATTGAAGTCGCGGGCAACAGCTAGTATTAAAAAAATCTCTAAAACATTTGTACTAAGGACCTCAGTTATACTGAACTCTGTTTGAACCTTCGACAAAACTATCGCACAACGGTCGTGCGATTATTGTTTCACTCACAACTAAACAACGAGTATCCATATAAGCTCATAGGAACCAAAGCGAGATTACAGTCGTGCGATAGTTTAGTCAAAAGCTTTAATACGACTGGATACATGACTTATGACGTCATTAACATGGTCTATGCGTTTTTGGAATGAGATATGTCGACATCAAAAGAGATATACAGAGATCAGTAAAAATCAGTTTTTTTGGTTTTTACGTATTTTTTAGTAATTCCTGTACTAATTATTAGTGTTTTCTGTCAGAAAATATGTTTGGCGTATAAAATGTAAATAATGACAGTTTTAAGATATAAAAAAAGTAGACTAATACTGAACATTTTCACCGGTACTTTGAAAGTTACTAAGGGTGAGTTGCACCATATCGCCGGTTACCGTTAAAGTTAAAATTATTTGTAACAGTAATATTTGGAATAACCTTAAAATTTACTAAGGATGAGTTACATTAACTAACTATAAACCTTAACCAGCACATTCCCGATGGTTACGTCTTCGGATGTTCATGATATTCGCTACACCAGTTTTGCGCTGGTCAAAATGACGTCATATTTGACACTAATCATAACCGCCCGATTTTGGGCGGTTATAGTTAGCGTTACGGTTAGTGTCAGTTCGGTAGTGTCAACTGTCACAAGCTCTTATCTTCAAAAGCACAAATAATGGAAAAAGTAATGGAAAAAGAAAATCTCTACTATTATCCTATACGTAATCCAGAAGAATAAAGTCTTGCGTGCTCGGAAATAATGGATTTCCAAGATGGAACTCATAAATATAATCGGCGAAACATGAATTTCCAAACATTTTAGTTTACGTAAATGTCATTCTTGACACCAACTTGACACTTTAGTGACTTTCAGGTTTAAATGTTTCCATTGTAAAAACGAAAAATACATAAAACCTCTGTGAGAATATGTTTTTGCACTAGTAACCCTATTATAACTTTTACGATAACCGGCGATTTGATGCAACTCACCCTAAATCAGTTGAAATAAACTACTCAGTATTTAAAATATATTATTTAACGACATCTATTGGCAATTTACTGAAATTCAGTTTTTGAGGAACTATTAATAGATGGCGTTAGTGAGGTTATGGTTTCAAATTACTCTATACTTAGAAATAAACGCAGTACAAAGTTAAAATTAGGAATAAACTGAGTATAAGAAAATATTAGTACAAATTCAGCTTATACTTAGTTTATTCATAACTTTAACTTTGACGGAGTTTATTTGTAAGGCTGTTATTTTAAATTTTCTTTGTAACCACAAAAATGTTCTTGACATATTGACGGGAGAAAACTTTTAAAGGATTTTTTAGTTCAATTGAATATTTAAATCTGTTCTTTATATGTCTATATTAAGCTAAAATCAACCGACATATTTCTCTTCGAACTATAAAATTGTAAAAGTGACTGATAATTAGCGCTTACGCTATATTGTGCAATAACTATTTTTTTGTAGATAGGTTATGTTTATATTAAGGGTGTTGCCAGTTTTTACAAAAAGCACACGTTTGACAAAATTATCGCACGACAGTTGTGCGATAATTTAGTCTGTTTTCTATTCAACTGTTTAGGACAACTAAACATCGAGTAGTGTTATATAAACTAAAAGGAATCAATGCGACTAAACAGTCGTGCGATAGTTTGGTCAAACGTGCGCTCTAAGTCTCTAAACAAGTACAAAATTTATAAAAAGATGTATTTATCTATTTTCATTTAGTACAGTTAAAATTGTATTTTTATAATTTTTTTCACGGTATTTTTTTATTATTTCAAACTACTTGTATAAAAAAACAATAAAAAATAACTGTTTAATACTTAACTTCTTTTAAAATAAGATAAAACTGTATTATTCCCAACCGTCACCCCGATCTGTCCCCACGTGGTAACAGATGAAATAAAAAGTTTCAACCGTCCCACCTTTTGGGACAAAAGGACGGTTGAAACTTTTTTATTTTATAACGGTTCCATCGTCACCTTATTGATAATAGCGGGACAAAAAGGTGGGACGGATGAAAATTTTATTCTCAAGTGGGGACAGCGGGGTGACGGTTGAGAATAATCAATAAAACTGCCGTATATTATAAATAAGATTAAGGGTCTGTCACCAAATTGTAAATTAGCTAACAAACCAACGTGTAAATTGTGATGGAATCGGATTTTGTCCCCTTATGTCAGTGACGTCATAAGCTATCTGAGCCTCTATCAGCCAGTTTTGGGACAGGCCCTTACACACCGATTTATTCTTTTAAAGTATAAATAAAATTGAATTTAAAATAAAACTGTCAAATTAGTATCAAAATTACCGACAATTCTTGACAGAAAGAAATTTAAAAACAAAACGTAGGCAAAAGTCTACATGTCTTTCTGCCAAGTTATTTTTTAATTATAAAAATATAGATTACAATCGTAAAGTTTTATTTAAATCTACTTTTAAATTAAAAAAAAAGTTGTATGAAAAAATCAGTTTTCTTATTGATTTTTTAATTGCCTAGTTACCTGAGTTGGGATGGCATGATTTTTTAATTTTTTTTTCAACGAAAATGTGTGAATACCGCTTTGTATACAATATTTTAAATGCATAGTGTATTTAGCTCCTTAGTGTAGACAGCTTTGAAATATTTTGAAAAAAAATAATAAAAAAACATAGAATATTTATATAAAATTGACTTAAGTAGGCAACGGGTAAAGCATTTTACTTAAGTTAATATTAATGCTTATTCTTCGCGGCTGTGGGTTTTAGATATTTCGCCGGCGATTTTGAGGAATCAAAAAAAAAAATTTTTTCCTACAAAAATAATTAAATCCATTGCGATACCTAAATATGCTTATAAATAGTTTCGTTTTTGCTAATTTTCTAGATTTTTTTGGACATGAAATAAAAGTGTTAGTTCCCAAGAGACTTTTTTTGTAGAAATTCACTGATTTATCGTTAATTTTTTTTTCTATTTTAATATTTTTAAAATATATGTACAAAGATTTCTGGACCATAAAAATTTTGTATACAACAAACGGAACATACCAAATGTATACAATAATATAAAAATCAAAATAAACTTTTAATAGTTTGTATATCCTATGTTTTATTATATTTATAATATAATCTGTACTATTATAATAAAGCGTAAACACACACTTTGTTGCCTAAGATGTCAGCAATCACAGCATATTTTTTAATAATTCTTCCTTTAATAAAAAGCTCTACAATTACGTCACGCTTTAGGCTATATATTTCCACCCCATTAAACTTAAGAGTAAATATTTTGGATAAAAACCTTAACGTGGGAAAAAGACCATAAGCTGCCAACATGAAGGAAGAATGTCATTTTGACATTGGCTGTTTATATTTTGACAAATGTAAACAATAAAATAAAATTTTTATAATTTCATGCGGATGAAGCGGCACGGGAACAGCCAGTATTAACTGTTATATAAATAAATTGTTTTTTTTTTTCATTACTTTTGAGTATAAGGAAAGTAGGATTTAATCCATTTTAATTCAAGAAAAAATCAAACAGTGTTTCTCTTAATACAGATAAATAATTTATTTAGATTTTTAATAAAAAGCTTAAACTCTTCGCCGGCGAAATTAATAATTTTGTTTATAGTTAAAATTTTGGTTCTGTAAAATTTGCAACGGCTTATCTAAACAATATAATACCGAGATAAAGAGATTCGCGTAATTTACAGTGGAATAGAATAATATCTATAGACATATGTTTTTATAAATAATTTTAAACTTCGATATACTTCTATACTATTATAGTAAAGCGTAAACACACTTCTTTGTTGCCTAAGATGTCAGCAATTACAGCATATTTTGGAATAATTCTTTTAATAATAATCCCTACACTTACGTCACGCTTTAGGCTATATATTTTAACACCATTAAACTTAAGGGGTAAATATTTTGGACAAAAACCCTAATGTGGGAAAGAGACCATAAGTTGCTGCCAACATCAAGGAAGCAAGGTTGTCATCATGTCATGTCATTTTGGCAAGTCGCAGGGGAACAGCTAGTTTTAAAAAAAAATCACTATTATCTAGAATATTTATATTCTTCTTTGTATGTACATTTAATTTCAATCATTTTATAAAGAATTTGTTTAATAAAATAAATATACCAAGTGTATACATTGGTTTAAAAAACTGTGTAATATTTTGTGTTAAAAAGGACCATATTTAGTCTATTTTTCAATTTAATTACCAAATACACTATATATCTTTTTAAAACAGTCAAA